TAGCTCTGAAGGGAACCAACAAATTACATTCTAAGGAAACAAAGCAATTAAATGGTATTAAACTAAACCCGAAAGCAAAAGTACAAATAAAGCCCCACAATTAACACTTTTATACACCTTTAAGTGGAAGTTTGTATGTGTGCCACACACACACACACCGATTTTCATCTTCAACCGTATGTAACTAATTAAAGCGAATACAAAACAAAAATGAAACGTGGGCAAAAACCATTCGAAAACTTTCACCAATTGTTAGATGTTCCATACTTTTTCTTCTTACCCAACAGCAGAAATTTATGCTTGTCCTTAAATCATTAGCTCCTGTATTATCACTTAATTCTTCTTTTCGCCGTCCCAAGTTTTATTTATTTTTTGGGGTGTTTTTGGTTGGCCCTGAAAGTAAATGCCATATATCATTTGTTATGGCCTTCTTTTGTAAATAACCAAAGAAAGCGCAAAAAAAACTGGGAGGAATTGCTTTAACGGCCCAGTTATTGATTTTTTGCTTATTGTTGGCCTTTTTGTTCCTCCATATATTCCTCTTTGTATATATGTGAACCAAATAGCACAATTACCCAGTTACTAAAAATGTCGAAGTAAAGGCATTTATAACCATTTAGCCAACAACCAACCACCTAACAAACCTTTCAATGATGCCATTTACAAAAGCGGCTAACAACTTTTTAAGGGATGCCATCGAAACTGTGAATCATGTGTTTGGGTGGGCGGGCGCACGACGGCTACTACTGCCGCTGTTGTTCTTGTTATCGTTTGGAAAAGGACTTTTGGGGCTTCTGCAAAGGATTTACATAAAAGCATTCTTTTTATGTGCAAATTCAGCAGATGAAAGCGAATAAATTTTATTTGATTTATGTGTTTTCTCTGTTAAAAACAATTCATACATAGCTACATACACATATAAAAGTTATGTATGTGCTTTGCTTTTATATGCCATCCAGAAAAAATAGAGCAGTGCGAAGGCGAAAATTGCTGGCGGGACGAGGAAAAGGTTGAAAAAATAGTAAACCCAACATACCTTTTCTTGAGAATTTTAAGAATGATGTGGAAACAGCATTAGTTGAAAATTAGTCTGCCTTTAAATATACATATTTAACATAAGCGGTCAACATTTTTATTGATTTTAAGTGAGTGGAAACAGTCTTTGGAAAATATATTTTTCTAATGAATTTTGTCGGAAATCGTGTCTTTCTTGTTGTGACTCTAAAACCTGATTTATAGATTTTATAAATTTACTTTTTTCCATTTTGAAAATTTTTAATTTATTGTTCGAAGTATTGCACATTTAAAAAATATACCACTATGGCATTTTTAGAAAAAAAAAGCAAAACACTTTTTAACATCGGTCATTATAATGACCTTCATTTGTTGTTAAATTTCTACAAGTATCAATTCCGATGAAGAATGCGAAGAAGGTGAAATGAAATAAAACACGATAAATATATCGCACGCAAAAATAAAAATATCTATGTGTAACAATGGAAGCCTTTGTATATACAGAACGAACCACATTCACAAAGTCGCACGCTCACATACCTAAATATGTATACATAGGTATTTTACATGAAAACATCCTTATAAGGCATTTTAAAGGAAATTCATTCAAAAACAAATAAATACTGAAATAGCAACAACAACATTCGAAAGAGAAAAATTTACAGAAAATCAGTCAACTGTGAAAAATAGCACAAAGCCTGTAGAAGATACTGTGCCAAAGAAGATATGTTCCAAACATAACCAAGCGAACATTTTGGCTGATGTTAATTTTTTTATATATTTGAGGCCCATCGAAATGTTGACTAGTCGTGGAGGTTTGGAACTATTTTCGTAGTTGTCAACAACAAATTCGAACAATAAAACATAACATTTTCAATAAATCAAATAAAAATAAACTCCATTTTCTCTGTTCGTAAGTTTTAGAGGTTGACAGAATTATAAATCATATTTCTTAAATACTGATATTATTAGCAAACAAAAATATTTGATACCTTATACTTATGTCGTGAATCAGTTAGAGAATTATCCTACAAACTTCAAAACAGTCACAGTTTGGCGGAACTCTAAAAACATAAATGTTTTTTCTCTATTTATCTTTCATCTGTCACGTTTAAAACATCAATAAACAGACATGTACGGATAACTTTCAATTGCTGTTTTTATAAATTAGTGTTTGAACTAATTTTACTTAAGTTTTTTTGTTGTTTTGAAAAAAATTGACCCAACCAAATTATTTGTCTCAAGATTTTTTCTCTTGTTATTTTTGAACATCCATGCCAAAAACAAGTTGTGATGCTACTTGGTTTCAAGACCTCACCCGAAACAATACGAAACTTTCTTGTACTCCATCAACACTTCAGACTTAAATCTAAATTTTATTTCTGTTTGATAATAAATATTGAAACCCATATTATCTGCATAACCATTTCCTCGCTAAATGAAAGTAGAGAAAAAAATCATAATTTCCTTATCAGCATTTTTTTATTTATTGCGTTCACAGTTTTATTTTTTTCTTGAATCCTCATCTTGTTGTTGATAAGAAATATTAAATAATTTATGGGCTTCGTTAGAAATCATTTGCTATTTTACATCTTTATAGTATGACACACCGTTACTTTAATAGTGCCAGGCCTAGCTGCTGGCGTAATGTGGTGTGTGCGTGTGTGTGTCGAATTTCTTGAAATATAATTTGGTATGCTGGGCTTGAGGCACAAATACCATCCCCCTCCCTGTTCACCTTCTTCTACCCATCGGTCCGGCAAACAACCAACGAAAAATAAAATGCCCCAATTTTTTCTGCTATGTTTTTAGGGTTTGTTCTGGTTCTTTTTTTTCGGTTTCTTTGGTTCGCTCGATTATAACTCATTCAACTGCAAATGCCAATGAACGAATGGGAAGCAGAAGAAGTACGAAAGACAGAAAGAGAGAGGGAAACAAGTTCGAACAGTGTTTTTTCATGTTTCGTGTATAACATTTATCATAGGACTTCAGTCGTAAACATACGCATTTATTCCCATAAAACCCCATTAAAACACATTGTTATGCCCAAATGTGTTATGGATGTGTGTATTTTCTTTTTTTTTCTTAAGTCGGGGGGAGATGAAGATACCTACATACACACATGGAATGCAGGCCTATATACATAAGTGCCGTAGTGGGTCATTCATTATACAAACGAACATAATTCATAGCTAAACCTCCAAAATTTCTGCTGATAAAGTAATCTTTAAATCGTTAGATACACTGAAAGAAATTGAGATTCATAAAAATGTTAAATGACATAAATAAGAAAAATAATCGGTCGTCATAAATAAGGAAAAAATCGGTTTTTATCAATTACCGAAGTGTTTTTAATAAAAATGTGTATTTTGACAGCAAAAGAAGAGAACGAGTGGCCGTACTGTGCCACTTGGAAAATGCACTTTGGCTAAGACTTTCAAAATACGAGTCATTTTGAGGTACCATTATGTGGATCTTTAGCGGGTGAGGTTCAAATGTCAATCTGCAACTCAACTCAACTCAGCTTGAAAACGTAACTTACAATAAAAAATAGCAATAATCGGATATTAGTCAATATACATCGGAATCAAATGAGTCTTAGCACACACGGCCATGTTCGTCCAAAATTATGTCTGACAATGTTGGTGAATATCGGTTCAAACTAAAGAACTCCCATATATATTTTCGTCCGATTTCAAATTTATTGTGCGCCATATGTGTAATATTGCTCCAAATGGGATGGATTTCAGCATTACCGATCGAATTCAGACCCGAAACAAGTATTTTAAATTTGGTGAAAATCGGCTCAGATATAGCTATAGTTCCCATATATGTGTTTCATCCGATTGGGTTAAGTCCGTCACATTGAAGTATGCACTCCACAACAATGATATTTGAAACCGATTTGAGGTGTATTGTGCATTAATATGCACATACGACCGAATTCAGCCTAAAAGGAAATACTTTAAATTTGGTCAAACTCGGTTAAGCTATAGCTATAGCTCCCATATATGTTTCAACCGATTTGCATTTAACTCCCTAACATTCGTAAATACAACTTTCAACAATAATATTTGGTGTCAGATATCCGATACAGCTCAGGAATACCTCTGCCAAATTTCATTCAGTATTTATATGGGTACATAAAAAGCTATTTTAGTTGATATAACCGATGTCCAACAAATAATTAATAGGTCTGATAATGTTTGTGTAGTGGTTTCTATTTTCATGAAACTTGGAAAACTTCCATTGCCAATTTCTCTAAGTGTATACATATTAAAGCTCTTTGTTGTTCTATCTTTTGTGTGTTTTAAACAAGTTAGATTTCCTAAGCCCACAAGAAAGATCATCTTTATGAAACGCCATCTCTTAAAAATTTTAGGAACACAAAAAGCTCTGTTTTTGGGGGAATGTATATATGAGAAAGCTTTGCATACTAAATAAGGAAGGCTTGCGGTCAATTGAACCATTTTCTTCGGTGTCGTTAAATTACTCCTCTCAAATAAACGATTTCCAAATTATTTTCCTTGTTCAAGGTATTTTTTTCGCAGATATGTTACGAAACGTATCACCGTTCAACTTATCTAGTCAAAAAAGTATTTAGTTTAAAATAACAAAACAATTTTAATAATATATCGTCTGTTCCCGAACTGCAAGAATGTAAAAGTTTTAACTAAGATAACAGATTTTCCCTTTAAGATATCAAAACTAGTAGATTCTTGCAGGTTCTGAAACAGCCCTAGAGTGAATGTTATATGGTTGTATTTAATTTCTAGAAAAAAAATCCTACTAACGTTAAATTAATGAGGTTCTGTTAAACGATTTTTTATTTTTCTTTAACCAACAAAAAATATACAAATTAAAAAAAGAACTTAAAAAATTAACAGTGCAGCTTCAATTATGAAGTATGTATTTAATTATATTTAACTATCATTCTGCTCTTGAACCACCTTGTATTTATTTTGCTTACATATGATACTTTTCAGGTACAAATGGTCTACGAAGACGTGGTCGCCAAACATATACCCGCTATCAAACACTTGAATTAGAGAAAGAATTCCACACCAATCACTATCTAACCCGCCGACGAAGAATTGAAATGGCTCATGCTCTCTGCCTGACAGAAAGACAAATTAAGATCTGGTTCCAGAATCGACGAATGAAATTGAAAAAAGAAATACAAGCCATCAAAGAGTTGAATGAACAGGAAAAACAAGCTCAAGCCCAAAAAGCGGCAGCAGCGGCGGCGGCAGCACAACATTTAGGCGAATAAAATTAGGAAAAAATTATAAATTATTATTATAATTATAGTATGCAGCATAATGATAATAATAATATTAATAATAATAGAGGAGAAGAGGATAATAAATGTTATAGTAATGGGTGGTGGTGGCGGCACCAGCAACAGCAGCAGCCGTAGTGTGATCGATCGGCAACAACAAATCCCCAGATAGTGATCATCAAGAGCAATAGTATTTTCAACATCAGCCAGCCATAAAATGTTAGACAAGTGTTGGAGGCTATACAATTGGAAAATAATGGTAAGATTTTATTTTAAATAATTTTTTACGAAATTAATTTCTAAAAAAGATTTTATTTCTCCTTTCATTGACAGCATTATCTATCCAAAACTAAATATCTCGTTGTTAACCCCACCCCTTCCTTCTTTATCAATCGACCGACATTACTGAACAACTACAACCCAGAAGACCCAGTGAAAGGACATTCGCCATTTGCATTTGTTGTTACTGAGAACTCACTCACTCAACACACACACTTTCACACAATAAGACACCCATACCTACCTACTACTTACTCATTTTAATTGATCTTACAAAGAAGCAAGTAAAACATCTTCTCTTTAGGTTTAATCTTAAAATCTAAACAAACACAAAATGATACTATATTGTATACTTAAAACGAACAAGTTTATAAAAGAACAAAAAAAAAAACAAAACAAAACCAACAAAAAAACTTAAACAAAAGCGAAAAAAGAAACTCAAACTCTCAACTTAATTGCAATTTTTGTTTGCTTTAAATTAATTTATTATTATTTTTACAGAAAAAAACTACAGTAAAAAAATTAAAAAAAAAAAACATATTTGGCATATTCCATGCCTTTATAAATAGTTGCTATAGTTTAAGAGTAAATATATATACGTAATTTAAACATACAACAACAAAAAGAAAACTAAAACAAACCTGTGCAAATTATTTTTAGTTAATTTTTATTTTTTTATTCTATTAAGTTTAATATTATTTTTATTTTTTATTAGTTTTAATATAAATGTTATAAATAAATCACAATCCTCACCCGAGAAAAATGATACTTTTCGTATACTGTTGATATTTAATGGAATTTTATTATAAAACCCCCAAAAAATAAGCAAAATTCTGATTTGTGTAAAAGTAATGATGAACCTAATTATACTCTAAATATTATAACTATACTTTTGTACATTGATTTTTCCTATCTATCGTAGCTTTTTGTTTAGCCTAAAATATATTATTATAATTAATTAATTAAATTCTTTCTTTTTGTTGTTTTTAAGTGAATTAAAACATTTTTGTTCAATGTTTTAGTTTTTACTCCAACTCGTTTTTCTTCAGTTTCTTTTGTTTAGTTAGCGTCTTCTCTACCTGTAGCCTGTAAGTTTTAAAAATATCCAAGAAAAAATGAAGAAACCGACAAAAAAAGAACAAGAACAAAAAAACAAATTTAAAAAATTAATAAATTTTAAATTAAATAAATTTGAATTTTTTTTCAACAAAAAAATTGAAAACCCAAACTATATTTGTGTTTTTATTTTCGAACACGGCGTCATTGTGGGAAGGGGTTGTGATGGCTAGAAAACGAATCCGAAATTATTTGGAACTTTTGAAATCATTTTAACGTGGCAATAATACCAGCAAAGATTTGGTAAGTCCCAACTTATATTAGGAAAGTTTACTTGCGGCAAGTCTTTGTTTGTTGGAAAGAAAAAAAGGGGAGTTGAAATGGAAAAAAATACTCGCACTGGAAATTTTCTAGCAATTAATTTTGTTGTTTTATTTTTATAGCAAAATATATAAATAACAATAAAAGAAAAGGCAAGAATGAAAAACTAAAATTCACAAAAGGAATTGGCTTATATGAGTGCAAGAGAAAAATTTGAAATAGTACTATAAAAATTGCCGCAAGTAAACTCGCCTAATCTAAATCAGTACTAATGTACATTACTTATTCTGAGTGAGACTAAAATCTGCTTGAAAGTGTGATATGATGAACATAATAACTGAGGCTCCATTTTTGATTCAAAAGAAATGAGTGTTTTTAAAAAACATCCATGTTTAAAACAGTGACACAGCTTAAGAACAACAAACCGCAACAAAATTCCTACTCCCAATATCAATATTTGGTCAATATTTGGTTTATTTGTAGCCTAAAGGACACACAGACAATATATTTCCTCATATTTATGTTAACAAGGATATATAGTACGGAATATTAAATTAAAAAGCAGCTAAGTTCGCCAGGGATAACTTTTAATACCCATCATTAAATTAAATCCGTATAAAAATTCGGCTTTAATTCAAAAATTCCGAATATTTTGTGTTTCAGTTATATGGGGTTATATGTAAAAGCCGACCACAACATCCAATTATCTGCCAGATAAGATAGTGCCTACTACCAATGGAAAACATCATGTTTTAACTAATTCTGTTGAAATATTTTGCTAAAGCCATAAAAATACCGAGTATAGGGAGGTACCGTTGTGTGAAGCCTATACTGTAACTCCTACAGCCTGTTATATACCAGAGAAAGCGGCGCCTACTTCGAACTCGAAAAACCAAGTTTGAGATAATTCTGTGTGTAAAAATGTAGCTAAAACCATCAAAATACCTAATATTGGGAGCTACCGTTATCTGGAGGCTATATAAACGCGCGAACTCCAAATACCAAATATGAAATAATTGCGGGGGAAATTGTAAAAAAAATCATAAAAAAGTGATGGGGACTATATCAGGTTCGTATATCCAGGTTCGTAGGTAATATGATTTTTAATTAATTAATTTTTTGAGATGGAAGAAGGACGAAGGTTAAAGAAATACTACAAAATGTGTATGACAATGGGGTATTTAGTCGGGATCCATATCATAATTTTTAAAACTGAGCATGAAAAGAATTTCCTTTAAAATTGGCTGTAATTTCACTATTTCGATTCTTCCTACATGAAGGTCGCGCTTTTACTTGAATATTTTAGTGGTAAACAATTTTATCCCAGCAAAACTAAATTGATCCGTTTCCATAGAACGATTGATTTTAATAGTTCTTTTGAATAAGTTAAAAACAAGTCCCTAAAATTCGGATACATTAATCTTAAAAATATAGTATAATAGTTTAGAAGGACTGTTTTTTATTCTATCCTCATAATCCTAACACTTTAAAATGTTTTTACTCTTCATGGCAAGTATTACACAAAGTTTACTCTCACTCGAAAACGAGCAAAATACTCAAAATTAAACTCGATTTTTTTTAAGCGCAGGAGTCGCCCTGTTCTAATTCCAAGCCATGATGTTGACATCTAGTTTGTCTTCCTCTTCGTTTTTATACCCTACACCACATAGTGGTTACTGTATTACGTCTTTGTGCATTTGTTTGTAATATGGGGAAGGAAGCGAGATAGACCCATAGTTACTTTTCGGGATCTCCATAGAATCACTTTCTGAGTTGATTTATGCATGTCAGTCCATCTGTCCGTCTGTCCATGTATGTTTGTGAACAAAATGCATGTCGCATTTATTATCCGATTGAGATGAAATTTTTAAAAACAACATTTGTTTGGCCCAAGGACGAACCCTATAAAAATTGGAGATAATCGGTAAAAAATAGATACAGCTCCCATATATATCTTCGTCCGATTTGCTTTTTATTGTGCACCAAACGTGTAATATCAGCCCGAATATTATGGAATTTTGCACGTACAACCAAATTAGACCTGAAAATAAGTATGCCAAATTTGATTGAAATCGGTTCAGATATAGCTATAGCTCCCATATATATTGTTCATCCGATTTGTTATTTTTGTCCTCCGAAGCCGTAATATGCACTCTGTAGCAACAAAATTTGGGAAATATATCAAATACAGCTCAGAAATATCTTTGCTAAATTTTATCGAAATCAGTTCAGATTTGGATATAGCTCACATATATAACTTCGTCCGATTTATCTTTTATTGTACACCAAACGTCTAATATTTGCCCAAATTGGATGGAATTTGGCACATGCGACCGAATTGAGTCTAGAAGCTAGTATGCCAAATTTGGTGTAGATCGGTTCAGATATAGCTATAGGTCCCATATATATTGTTGATCCGATTTGTTGGATTTGTTACCCACAGCAGTAATATGCACTCCGTAACAACGATATTCAGGAAAATATATCAAATACGGCTCAGAAATATCTTTGTCAAATTTTATCGAGATCAGTTCAGATTTAGATATAGCTCCCATATATATCTTTATCTGATTTCAAATTAATTTTGTACCAAATGGGCAACACAAATCCGAATTTAAAAGATACAAATGCTTCGGCATATTTAGTCCTTTGAACTTTAAATTACAATTATAATCATAGCGTGTATTATTAGCAAAGTGTTGTAGGGTATCATAAAGTCGGCCCCACCTGACTTTAGGACTTTCTTTACTGGTTATACTCTACTCCAAACTATGGTACAGGTCATTATGTCTTTGTGCATGTGTTTGCAAAAAGAAACGAGATAACACATAATTCTTTTTGATGATCTTCTTCACATTTGGAGTCGATTTATGCATGTCTGTAGCGAAAATAAACTGCGAACCAAACATTAAGAGGTATTCGATCAGCCTATCATATTTCTGCTAGACCATCTAGGTATTTCATCAACTAAAAGAGGAATCACTTGTTACATGTCGTTCTAAATAATTGTGACAGAAAGCGGGCATGACATCAGGGTTGTATTTCAATAGCATCTACAGCTATATGAAGATGTGAATTGTATAGTTAGATGTGTTTTAGGAAAGATTCAACATTCCTCCTCGATTTTTAAGATTTATATAAATATATAAACAATATAAAATATAAATAATATAAATAAAAATATTATTATATAAATAATATAAAGGTTTTCGGTAAAAAAAAAAAAACTAAAAAAAAAAAAATCCAGTAAAAATAGTGCCATAAACTTGTGCATCGTTAAATAATATAAGTTTATTACAACTTCATAAATAAAAATGGTATAAATGAAAATCATGAATCAACTCCTCATGAAGTAATGATACAAATACCTTTTCGTCACTTGATATGTTTTTTTAAAGATGTTAAGTGTTTGCAAAATGTCTCACATGAAATTAGTATAATTTATTAATTCTTATCACACATCTGTAGACAGAAGAAAGGCAAAGCAGATACGCCACATAAAGGGATAAGATAAGCGCAACGGAATACATTAACGGCAGGCTCAAACGAGCAGACGCGAATGTCTTTATTATTATTTTCGAACAATTTAAAATAAAAGCAACAAAAACAAGCAAAACTTAAAAAAGGTTTTCAAATACCTGAGAGTAGAAAACTACCTCTTAATATTCCACAAAAAAAAAAAAAAAAAAAAAGACGAAAAATGTGTATTGTATAACAAACATATTATAAGGTAACAATGGACAGACAGACTAACAGACAGACAACGTCGCCAGTATGCGTGTGTTCCATTTCAGCAGCGCTTCAAGAAGTCTACATAAAGCACAATAGTCAGGCCAGACTGTCAAACACATGAATTGACATTGAATTTTTCTCCGTCTATTACCAGTCTCCATTCACTTTGTGCTGTTTGACTGTTTCGGCTAAGACTTAATTCTCAGTTGGTTTGTTGGTTTATACTTTCTGCTGCCTCACGTTCAAATGTCCATGGCATTTTTAATGGGTTTAAAGGATTTTCGTTGCTCATGCGCTGTGCTGTGTTTTCAAAAAACAAAAAAAAAAAATGAAAATAAAAAATCAAGTCAAGAATATTCAAAACACGTTCCACAGAAGTAAAGTTTATTGTGACGATTTGTACAATTTTTATGAGGTGTTATACAGCAATAATAATTGTACAATCGATAAAGCGACATTATTTTAATTGAGAGTCAGATAAATAATTACACAAATACAATACAACACAAAGAAAAATTTCAATAACTTCCTTAAAAGATAAAAAAAATCGAAAAAAAAAATAGAAATTAAAGAACAAAAACTTTGTTGTTTCTTGCATTCTTTGTCTAGTCCATTGAGCAGTATATAGAAATCTACGTTACGAACAAATGTAGCTGCCAGCTGGTGTGGGGGTGCAGCAGAAGATTTTCTGTGTCAGCCGGATAAGATGTATGTTTGTATCAACCTTGCCTTATTCAATTCCCAATGGAATGACCCACATTCCTTGGCTTCCTTCAAAACATTGGGGAGTTTTTCAGCCTGAACGAAATGCTAAAAGCATAACACAAACGCCACGTTATTCACCCTCAATCAGCTGGCAGAAAGTGTATGTTAGAGAAATAAAAGAAAACCCAAAATAAGACAACAAGCAAAACCTTTTGCCTCTGCAAGCAGAGGATGGTGTTCGGGTCGGGTCGAGAAAACCAAAGAGAAAACACAGACAATAAATGGGTGTTTTATAGGCTTTTTGATAGCGTTGGAAATTGTTTATGTATATGTAGAACACAATCACACACACATACTTTAATACATAGACAATTTAGGTCTATGAAATGCCATTGCAAATGAAAATTACTCAGT